TAAATCACTTTAACATCATTTTCTGGGTACCTATTATCTATCATATGCTGTGTCAGTGCTTAAAAGACAAGATTTAAAAAGAACCTCATGGGACTTTCAATCTAGTGGCTAAAGTAAAAACAAAATATGAAAATAGTCGTCAAGCCAGAATCAAAGTACTGAGGGATAAAAAGTACATGTAGAACTCCATACCCAGCAAAAATATCTTTCAAAATGGAGGTTTTCAGACAAACAAAACAGCAGACCTACATTGTTAGAAATGTTAAAAGCCATTCCTTTTGACAGAGGAAAATACATCAAAGTTTGAATGTGCACAAAGAAATGAGAAAGTGTTTACAAAAGAGACTTTTCTCATTTTTAAATTTCATGTATAAATAACATGCATAAGTCATACATATGTAGAAATAAAGCATGACAAGAATAGTATTAGGAAGAAAGTGAAAGTATACTTTTGTAATGTCATATTATGCATGAAAGTAGACTGATAAATTGAAGAGATATATTTTAAAACAAGGAGAAAAACTGTGTGACCATGAGATAGGCAAAGTTTTTTTTTTAGGGGGGGCTACAAAAAGCACGTTATAAAAGAAAAACTACTAAATTGGATTTCATCAAAATTGAAAACCTTTGCTCTTTGAAATTAAGGAAAGGCAAGCCACAGATTGAGAAAAAAACATTTGCAAAACATATGCCTGACAAGGAGCTTGTTTATAGAATATGTACAGAATTCTTACAATTTAGTAAGACAATAAAATTCATGAAGAATATGGACAAAAATTTTAAGACACTTCACAAAAGATATGAAAAGCCAATAGGCATATGGAAAGATGCTCAACATTGTTAGTCATTAGGGAATTGCCAGTAAAACCACAATGATATGCCACTACTCATCTACTACAATAGCTAAAATCAAAGACTGACATAAACTGAAGTCTTGGTGAGGATGTGAAGCAACTGTAATGTTCAAGTAACAAAAACAAGACCTGTATTCCTATGTTCACAGCAGCTTTGTTCAGCCCAAAACTGAAAATAACTCAAAATGTTCAATTTGGTGAATGAATAAGCAAATTAATGGTATGTCCATAAGTGGAGTATTACTCACCAATAAAAAGGAACAAAACACCTGAACATGCAACACTGATGAACCTCAAAACCATGTTAAGTGAAGGTAGACAATGAAAAGTACATACTACGGCCATGGCTGGGTGGCTCAGTTGGTTGACGCATTGTCCCATACACCAAAAAGGTTTCGGTTTTGATCTCTGGTTGTGGTGCTTACGATCAGTTTCTCTCTCACCCCGCCCCCTTCTTTTCTCTCTAAAATCAATAAAAACATATCTTCGAGTATTAGGATTAAAAACACACACACACATACATACCATGTAATTCCATTTATATAAAGTTCAAGAAAGATCAAAGTAATGTGATGGAAAATAGATCAGTTGTTGCCAAGGACCACAGGTAGAAGTAGGGGACAGAATGAAAGGGATATATGAAACATTTGGAGCTGGGGCTGGAAATGTTCTTTTTATCATGATTGTGGTGGTGGTTACACAAGTTTATCTTTGTCAAAATCCACTCAATTATACAATTAATATTGATTAATTATATTGTATATAAATCATACCTCAATATAACTGATTTGTGGTTGTTTTTTTAATGAATTACTGAAACTAAGAAGGAGGAGGGACAACTCTAATATAATCTGGATATAGTAAGTATTCATAAAAGTTATCTCAGTGCTAAAGAAATTAAGAGAAATCTCTTCTGGATGAGATTAATGAAGGCTTCTTAGATGACATCTGAACTATGGTTGGAAGAATGGTCAAGAGGATTGGCTAATTGAGTCAAGGGCATAAACTAAAGTACAGAGGGCTTACAATTCCACGCTTTTTAAAATAGTAAGAAGTTTAGACCCATAGAAATAGAGAACAAGCTGGATGGTTACCAAAAGGGAAGGTGCGAAGAGATGGGTAAAACAAACAAACAAAACACAAAAGAACCTGAAGTGGAATTTATCTTATTCACTTTTATCATGTTAACTTGCTCTACAGCTGCCATGACAGAAATGTCAGTGATCAATGATTCAGACTTCTTGAGCAAAGGGCTTTAAGAAGCTTTCACTATGAAAATTTCCAAAGTTTTTATTATTATACTAGAGGCCCAGTGCACAAAAATTTGTGCACTGGGGAAGGGGGGGGGAGGGGGGTCCCTCAGCCGGCCTGTGCCCTCTCGTAGTCTGGGACCCCTCGGGAGATAACGACCTGCTGGCTTAGGCCTGCTCCTGGTGGTAGAGGGCAGGCCCAATCCCTAGGTGCAGCCCCTGGTCGGGCTCAGAGCAGGGCTGATTGGGGAGTTGGGGCACCGCCTCCTGTCATGCACAGAGCAGGGTGGATCGGAGGTTGCGATGCCACCTTCAGTCACGCTCAGGGTAGGGCCGATTGGGGGGTTGCGGCGCCACCCCCTGTCACGCACAGAGCAGGGCCAATCAGGGGGTTCGGCACTGCCCCCTGTCATGCACAGAGCAGGGCCCATCAGGGGGATGGGGAGCTCCCCCGTCATGCACAGAGCAGGGCCGATCAGGGGGTTGAGGAGCTCCCCCCTGTCACGCACAGAGCAGGGCCCATCAGGGGGTTGGGGAGCTCCCCCCTGTCACACACAGAGCAGGGCCGATCAGGGGGTTGAGGAGCTCCCCCCTGTCACTCACAGAGTAGGGCCGATAGGGGAGTTAGGGCACCGCCTCCTGTCACACACAGAGCAGGGCCGATCAGGGGGTTGGGGCGCCGCCACTGTCACACTCAGGGCAGGGCCGATGGGGAGGTTATGGCTCTACCCGATCAAACACAGAGCAGGGCCCGTGGGGAGGGGGGGCTGGGGCGCCGCCCTCTATCACCCACAGAGCAGGGCCCATCAGGGGGTTGGGGCGCCGCCACTCTCACACTCAGGGCAGGGCCGATGGGGAGGTTATGGCTCTACCCTGTCACACACAGAGCAGGGCCTGTGGGGGGTAGAGGGGGGATGGGGCGCCGCACCCTGTCACACACAGAGCAGGGCCGATCAGGGGGTTGGGACGCCGCACCCTGTCACACACAGAGCCGCAGGGCGATCAGGGGGTTTGGGCGCTGCCCCCTGTCACGCTGATCCGGTGCCAGGAGGCCTCGAGGCTCCGCTGATCCCGGTGCTGGGAGGCATATTACCCTTTTACTATATAGGATAGAGGCCTGGGGGCCAGCTGGTTTGCCCTGAAGGGTGTCCTGGATCAGGGTGGGGGGTCCCCACTAGGGTGCCTGGCCAGCCTGGATGAGGGGATGATGGCTGTTTGCAGCTGGTCACGCACCCTTCAGGGTGGGGGTCCCCACTGGGGTGCCTGGCCAGTCTGGGTGAGGGGCTGAGGGCTGCTTTCAGGCTGGCGGTTGACTGAAGCTCCCAACCACTCCTTTTTGTCTTTTTCTTTTTTTTATTCTGGGCCAGCTTTAGCTCTGGCTTTAGCTCTGAGGCTTCCACTGCTGAAAGCACGTATCTGGTTTGTTTGCATTCTATAATCGAAACAATGTATAACTCCAGCTCTGAGATCCCGGCCGGCTGAAAGCTGGTTTCTGGGGTTTTGTTTAGCTTCTATATTTGTTAAAATGTTTCAAACTGCAAGCTCAGAGGCCTACAAGGCAGGCGGGGAACATTGGAGTCCTCTGTCACTGAAGCAAGCAAGCCTCCTGTTAGCTTCAAGCTGCCTGGCTGCCGGCCGCCATCTTGGCTGGCAGTTAATGTGCATATCGCCCCGATTAGCCAATGGGAAGGGTAGCGGTCGTACGCTAATTACAATGTTTCTCTTTTATTAGATAGGACTAGAGGCCCAGTGCACAAATTTGTGCACGGGTGGAGTCGGGCCAGGCCGATAGGGGTGGGGCCAGCCTGGGGGAGGGGCCTGGAAAAGACCCACTGAACTGGAGCTGAGCATGGGCCCCAGGCTTTCCAGGGAGGATGGCCTCAGCAAGGAAACAGAAACCACCAGAAGACTCTACAAACAGACCCTGAGCTCCCTCAGGCCAGGCGGACTCAGAGCTGGTCTCTGTGTGTACATTAGACACAGCCCGGCACTCGCCTTTGTCTGTTGGTCAAATCCATTGCATCAAAAAAACTTGTTCCACCCTAACCGGTTTGGCTCAGTGGATAGAGCGTCGACCTACACACTGAAAGGTCCCAGGTTCAATTCCGGTCAAGGGCATGTACCTTGGTTGCGGGCACATCCCCAATGGGGGGTGTGCAGGAGGCAGCTTATTGATGTTTCTCTCTCATCGATGTTTCTAACTCTCTATCCCTCTCCCTTCCTCTCTGTAAAATTTCAATAAAATATATTTTAAAACAAACAAAAAAAAACTTGTTCCCCGTCTTCTCTTTGAGCCCTTATAACAAATAGAGGCTAATTGGAAGACGTGGACCCCAGTGGCAGAGCCAGGCCCCATAATCACCCAGAATTTAGGCCTACGACAACTGGGTAGCAATCTCCACAGAACAGAACATACTGTTTTAGAGTATTAATTCTCCCCTAAAATATGCCCAGCTGCTCCTCTTTAGCCAGGATAGACTGAACTAAGGAACCAAAAACCGAGTTTCCTTTGAGGTGGGATCCACCAGAAGCCAGCTGGTGACAAGGCCCCTCACAGGCATCTGCCTTCCCCCCAAGCTCAGTGTGCTCTGAGCCAGTCTTTTTCTGGTGGTGCCAGGTCCTGGGCTGCTGGTCGGGCGGCAGGTCCACAGGGTTTCTCTCCATCGCCTTCCTGGCCTCCCGAGCAGCACCCTCCAGCCTGGCATGCCAGGCGGCTGTCACTAGAGCCAGGACTCAGAGAGCAAAGGAGCTGGCCCGCACTGAGAGCGACCCGCAGGTGGCCAGGCCGTGCCCCCACCCCACTTGTCAGTCTCGCTTGCGTGGATTGGGCCAAAGCCCGCTGCCTGAGACTGGCACCATGTGGGGAGGGTCGCAGGGGGGAGAGGGGCGCCCTGACCTGCCAGCCTTGGTGACGATCATCTCAGTGCCCAGCTGATTGAATTTGTCCCACAGAGCCTTCATCTCAAGCTGTACACTCACGCTGGCCACCTTCGCCTTCTTCTTTACCAGCGCCTTGGCGACAGCTGCACAACTGGCCCTGGGGCCCTTGGGCTCAGCAGCGGCGGCCCTTGCGGCCTGTGCGTCATAGCAACCGGTCATATTGGTTGTTCCGCTGTAACAGTCACTGGGCTTTTATGATATAGATAAACTTAAGATAGAGCAATAAGCCTCCATGGGGCAAATTAATGATACTTTAATTATGAAGGGATGTCAGTCCTACCATCAATGTTTTATTCATGAATACCAATAATTGGGAATTTATCAACCAATAAAACCAACCAGCAGTCTAAGACTGAAAAATAATCTCACTTTAAATAGCATATGAAGTGGTGAAGGGATTGAGCAAAAAGGAGAAAAAAAGTCACGGACACAGACAACAGTATAGTGATTGTGAGGGGGATAGGGAGAGATGGGAGAGGGTATGGGGGGATAAATGGTGATGGACAGAGACTTGACTGAGGTGGTGAATACATGATACAGTGGACAGATGATGTGTTATAGAATTGTGCATCTGAAACCTACAGAATTCTAACCAGTGTCATTCCAATAAAGTCAATTAAAAGGAAAAAAGGTAGCATATGCAGTGCTGTGCAATCCTTTAAAAAAGCTGCTTTTGTTCATTGAAGTATTGCTTGTAATAGCAAATACTGAAAACAACTAAAGTGTCCATTTGTAAGGGCCTGGTTCCATAAACAAGGAGGCAGTCATTCACACAATGGAATACTATGCAGTTTTGGAAAATATGAATAAGGAAACCCTTCCTGTACCAACATAGAAAGGTCCCAGGTCATACTGTTAAGGACAAAAAGCAAGTTACAGAAAAGTTATGTAATGTGCTGCCTTTTGTATAAAAAAGTAGGAAGGGAAATAAGAACATATATTCATATTTGCTTTTATTTAAATAAAGAACACTAGACCAATATGAGACAACTGAGTGGCATATAATAAGGGGCAGGGAGAAAAATTCTATTCACAAATGAATTCTATAAATGAATCTTATCTCCTCCTTAAAGAAAAACAATTAAAGAAAGGAAAATATTGAGAAACCAAGATGGCGGCATAGGTAAACACCGGAGATTGCTGCCTCGCACTACCACTTCAAAAATACAACTAAAAGACGGAACGGACATCATCCAGAATCACTGGAAGGCTGGCTGAGTGGAAATTCTACAACTAGAAGGAAAGAGAAAAGCATACCGAGACTCAGAGGTGCGGTGTGGAAGTAAAATACAGAGGTACAGAGGCGCATGCGGAGAGGGTTGGCGGCTGAGGACACGGTTGTCTTTTTCAATTCGGAGGGCGTCTCAAGCTCTGAGCTCCAGTTCCGGGCGAGTCTCTGGGGACCCAGACTCATACGGGAGAAACTGGACTGTCTGGCATCGGTGGGAACTCGAGGGCAGCTTTCTCTCGGGGGTGCTTGCAGTGATTGCTGGAACACTGAGAAGCAGGGCCTCTGAGGGCAGGACTGAGAGCAGCCATAACTGCTCGCTCCGCCCTGTTGATCCCTGGGACCCCGCCCTGCCCAAGCCATGGAGGCTTTTGCATATGAAAGGCCTGACCCTTTGCAATCTGATCATTACCTAACAAACTGCAGCTGGCCCAAGGCCCCAGGGCAACTTGCATTGCATCACAGCTGGCTCCTGCTGGATAGCCTCAGGCAGAGACTAGATTAGCACCTCCTTAGAAATCCAGGAGCCAGTGTGCCTGGTGGTCAGAGTGGGACCATCCAGATTGCAGCTCCTCGGATCCATAAAGGACAAGCTCAGGGGGCAGACTCAGTGAGCACCGAAGCCCCATTGAAGCAAGTCTTGCCCCAGAGGGGTGTCTCCAGCACAGAAGTTCTCCAACTGCAGACACAGCTGACTCTCACAGCCAATTGGCCTGGAGGTCAATCCCTCCCAGTTTTACCTACAACAAAGGCTTAACTACGACAAGACTATGCACAAAGCCCACAAGGGGGGGCACCAAGAGTGTCTACCTCAGGTAATTGGGGAGGCTGAGCCACTGGGCCCTATAGGACACCTAGCACAGAAAGCCACTCTATCAACACAGGGAAGCAGCCAAAATGTGGAGGCAAAGAAACAGGTCACAAATGACAGAAATGGAGGAAAGCAAACTACTGGATATAGAGTTCAAAACCACACTTTTAAGGTTTTTCAAGAATTTTCTAGAAACCGCCGATAAACTTAATGAGACCCTCAAGAAATCTAATGAGACCCTCGAGGTTGTGATAAAGGACCAACTAGAAATTAAGCATACACTGACTGAAATAAAGAATATTATACAGACTCCCAACAGCAGACTAGAGGATCACAAGAATCAAGTCAAAGATTTGAAATACGAAGAAGCAAAAAACACCCAACCGGAAAAGCAAAATGAAAAAAGAATCCAAAAATACGAAGATAGTGTAAGGAGCCTCTGGGACAGGTTCAAGCGTACCAACATCCGAATTATAGGGGTGCCAGAAGAAGAGAGAGGGCAAGATATTGAAAACCTATCTGAAGAAATAATGACAGAAAACTTCCCCTACCTGGTGAAGGAAATAGACTTACAAGTCCAGGAAGTGCAGAGAACCCCAAACAAAAGGAATCCAAAGAGGACCACACCAAGACACATCATAATTAAAATGCCAAGAGCAAAAGACAAAGAGAGAATCTTAAAAGCAGCAAGAGAAAGACAGTCAGTTACCTACAAGGGAGTACCCATACGACTGTCAGCTGATTTCTCAACAGAAACTTTGCAAGCCAGAAGGGAGTGGCAAGAAATATTCAAAGTGATGAATACCAAGAACCTACAACCAAGATTACTTTATCCAGCAAAGCTATCATTCAGAATTGAAGGTCGGATAACGAGCTTCACAGATAAGAAAAAGCTAAAGGAGTTCATCACCACTAAACCAGTATTATATGAAATGCTGAAAGGTATCCTTTAAGAAGAGGAAGAAGAAGAAAAAGGTAAAGATACAAATTGTGAACAACAAACATGCATCTATCAACAAGTGAATCTAACAATCAAGTGAATAAATAATCTGATGAACAGAATAAACTGGTGATTATAATAGAATCAGGGGCATAGAAAGGGAGTGGACTGACTATTCTTGGGGGGGAAAGGGGTGTGGGGGATGCAGGAAGAGACTGAACAAAAATCGTGCACCTATGGATGAGGACAGTGGGGGGAGGGGGAGGGCGGATGGTGGGGTGGGAAACGGGTGGAGGGGAGCTATGGGGGGAAAAAGAGGAACAACTGTAATAATCTGAACAATAAAGATTTAATTTAAAAAAAAAAAAGGAAAATATGAAGGAGTCCAGTTTGTACTGTGATCAACATCTGATATAATAAAAGCCCAGCAACCAAACAGCAGAATGACCAGATGACAGGTCAACCAGTCGCTATGATGTGCACTGACCACCAGAGTGCAGACGCTCAATGCAGGAGCTGCCCCCTGGTGGTCAGTGCACTCCCACAATGGGGTGCTGCTTGGCTGACCCGGATGAGTGGCTGCTACCACTGCAAGAGCAACCGCTCAGAGGGCAAGTGCTCCAACAGAAGGCCAATCCCCACAGGCCATGCCGCCCACCAGTGCACGAATCCTGTGCACCAGGCCTCTAGTATATAAGAAGTAAGGGTAATTTGGGTGAGTCTTGGGTGGGGAACCTTAAATGCCCAATACAATTTGAATCTGGCCTGGCTGGCATGGCTCAGTGGTAGACATTGACCTATGAACCAGAAGATCTGGTTTGATTCCTATCAGGGCACATGCCCAGGTTGCAGGCTCGATCCCCAGTGAGGCGTGTGCAGGAGGCAGTCAATCAATGATTCTCTCTCATCACTGATGTTTCTACCTCTCTCTCCCTTCCTCTCTGAAATCAATAAAAATATATTTTAAAGAAGAAAAATTTGAATCTGTAAATATGTTTTATAGGAAAATGATAGAATCAAAGTGGTATTTTAAGATTCATTTCAATGCAGAAAACGGTAGGAGCTTGAAGAATAAAGGCCCAAAGCATGCAGATCCAACAATAAGAAGATCCATAAATTAAGAAGCTTTAAACTAAATCAGAGTGGACTAGAAACCACTGCAAAAGCACCAACAGAACAAACAATTTATTCGAAGTGGGGAGGGAGAAAAGATAAATATTACTTTAAGCACCAGCTGTCTGGGAGAAACAACTACCTCTTAAAACACTTGCATACACATATGCAAATCAAAAAGTTCTTAAAACATAAACAAGGTTAAAAGACAAAAGACAACTCATGAAAAATACTTGCTAATTAAAGATATGCGCGCGCACACACACACACACACACAAAAACCAGTTAATATCTCTAATACAAAAAAGGCTCTTAAAAGCTAATAAGAAAACTAACAAAAATCAAGATATAAGAACCAAAAAATAGATGAAAATAAATTTAGCATTATTAGATTTTAAAGAAATGCAACTGAAAACAGGAATGGGATAATTGACAACTCCACAGACAGTGGCGACTGCGGAAATGGGTACTCGGATACTTGGAAAATACAAATTGATAAAAGCTTTCTGAAGATGCAATATGACAGAATTATCAAAACTACAAATGTGCATAGCATTTTTGGCCCAAGAATTCTACCCCTGGGAAATCTAATCTAGAAGATATTATGGGACAAATGCACACAAAATTTGCAATAGATACATACACATTGCAAAAATAAGTCCTAGGAGCTTACAGTCTAAGAGTAGCAAAGTGGACTTGGCCAAACAAGTTATAGGACACCAATACAATGGAATCCTAGGAGTCAATAGAAAGAATATACTATGTACTACAGGGTACAAAATAGCACTGCAGTATGTTCCCATTTATATAAAATCTTATGTTCCTATGTACATTTGCATAGAAAAGTCTAGAAGACTGTTCATCAAAATATCAAGGGTGAACATCTCAAGTGGTTGGACTCAACACGCCTTGAATCTCTTACCCTTTTCTATACTAACCAAAAATTTCTACAAGCCTCTACTATCTTTGTAAACAAGTGAAAAATAATGGCGAGCAATATCTGAAAAATATGACTCCAAGAAAGGTAAAATAATTAATTTAATGTTGGATAAATTAAGTTTGGAGTG